TACATCTGAACAAGGTGCTCGTCGTGATGATACATCTGAACAAGGTGATTGTCGTGATACATCTCAACAAGGTGGTCGTAATGATACATCTGAACAAGGTGATCGTCGTGATAGATCTCAACAAGGTGGTCGTCGTGATACAACTCAACAAGGTGGTCGTGGTAATACATCTCTACAACCTCGTAAAGATGTACCTCAATCATCTAATTGTAATAATAATCGAGCTGCTATTATTGGTAATATTGTTTTTTGATATAAATAAAAAATAAAACAAATTTTTCTATTGTAGAAAGAGATGTAACAGGTAGTGTTGTAACAATTAATCGGTTGAAACATTACAGTTTTATAAAACGGTATGAATCAACTAGTTTTAGGTTTTTTTTAATTATTAATTACTTTTATATATTCTTTAGTAAAGATTATGTTGATTCGAAAGATATTTTCGCGAGAGATGCGTCGATCGTTAATGAAACACGTCAACAGAAATTATTTATATCAGACTTGGTTAAGTTTGATATTATACAAAGTAAATCACTATATTTTAATTATATCATGTATAATACGTCATTTTTTTATCCAAAATATTAAAAAAAAACCCAGTTCAATGTAAATAATTTTCATTGAAAATTATCAGTATCATGATCACATATTATTCGATATGAAGTATTCAATACCATAAAATTAATAATTTCTTTCATTGATAAAAATTTAATTTTTTTTCTTTTGATGAAATTATGGTTTAGAAAATAATTTTTCATTTCTTAATATACTTTGACTAGGTTTTGTTGTTGTTGTTGTTGTTGGTAAGATATCGAATAATACTGGTGATCGATAATTTTCCAAATCAGGTTTTTCTAAAAGATCAACATTTTTCTTTTATACAATATAAATTATTTTTGATTTAAGTACTTACGATACTCTTGAAATATTTGATTATATTTTACTGTAGAATAAGGATTATAAAGCAATTGAGATGATGGTTTTTTATATATTGATGTTAATGCTTGACGATTATTTTGTATTGATCTATTTTCCATCAATGAATAACTTGGTTAATCAATAATAATTGATGAAGTAAATTGCAAAGAATTGTTGCTATTTGAATATAAATCAGAGAATGATGAAGTATGAGGAATCTATTAATAGAAAAATGTTAATCGTTATTAAATAAATTAGATAATAATGAATATTTAAACTTTTCGTTGTTGTTGTTTTTCATCTGAATGAACTTTTGCTGATTGATTGAAACATTCTATTTCAAGATCATTCTGCAAACCAAGTGATTGAAATGTAGGTGTAATTGTTGAATCAGTATCCATTTCAGGTGTACCATCATTGAAATTTTTAGTAAAAAATGATAAAGATGGACTTGGAAAAGGTGTTTGTTTAAGACGAGTATCCATGTTAAACATTGTTGCTTTTGTATGATGACCAATCTATGATTTTAGATTATATTAAATAATAAATAAAATTTTTCTTTTTTTCTTTTCTTACCGATGATTTTGTTTCTTTTTGATCTAGATAGAATTTAAATATTGATATATTTGAATGTGTTGATTGTATTCGTTCTGATAAGATACGCTCATCCTGTGAAGGTTTACATACAGCTGTTGTACGCAATGCAGAGCTTGGTAAAGCTACAATATGTGGAAGAGCAGCAGTTGTTGTTTGATCATTATTGGAATCTGTCGATGTTGATGTGAATAGATCTGTATGTTGAGATACATGAGATAATTGTTTCTGTTTTTCTTGTTCAAATTTATTCCATTTATTTGATCGATCAGCAGAAGATAAACTAATTGGTTTTGATTGTTCAAGAGTCAATGTTGAAGATGTTATTGAAGTTCTAGATTCTGTCCGTTTGGGAACAACTAAAAATAAGTTTCTTTTTTTTATAGCTTCACGAGGTCAAGAAGCAGTAAATATTAAAATAATTGAACGAAATATTAATTCAATATCCAAATTACCGAAGATTCAAAAACGAGCTCCAAATCATGAACAGCAACAACAGCATATACCTGTCGAAGTTTTTAAATCTACTATGTATGTCTACATCACTTTTTGTCTAAAATTTGAAATAAATTTTATGTAATTATAGCGTTGAACTTTTTAAAGAAGCATTAAAAAGATAAAAAAAATAAATCATATTCATCATATCATTTACAACAACAACATCAAGAATATGTTTGTCTTTTCACTTACCACATATATTCGTCGAAAACAAAAAAAAAACTCATAAAATAACATGTTGTATGAGAGAATTTTTGTACAGTTGTTGTTGTTGTATTAAATAAAAAATAAATAAAAGATTTTTTTATAAAAAGATCTATTTTTTCAGTGCTTTTAATTTACTTAAAGCCACTAAATGATTTCTTAACTATTCGTTTATCTAATTCATATATTGAACTAAGTGATCTTGCGCATAAGCTTCTCTCATATAACGTCTGGCTGATCTTAAATTAATTTGTTGTACTTTGTAGATTTCAATTATCTAAATTAATCTTGTAATACAATTAAACAAAAAAATACTACATTTACTGTTTAAAAAAATTACTTTTGTAAAACAATTAAACAGAACAAAAAAATACTTCATTTATTTACTGTTTAAAAAAGACTATCAAAGTTTCAAGTTTTGAAAGTTTCTTACTTAGAATCGAGTGAATCTTCACTAAGTTTAACGAAGATTTTTCTCGAAAGAAACTTTCTTGTTTATTAGTTTATCTCAAAAAGTTAAGAGATACATACGTTTCTCATTAAGTACAAGTTATACTTAGTATATATACGTGCTTAATCTGATTGAGAGTCTAGATCATTTAAAAATTTAACAGCTAATCTAATCGCATCTTATTTCACTATCCACATTTCTAAAAGATCAGTCGTACCAAAAGTGGAACATTTTAAATTGTGAGAGAAAATGCCGAAATTAAAAAGAAGACCTGCCTCTCAGAAAAATGCCGAAATGACAAAGAGAATGAGAGAAAAGAGAAATGATGATGGATTCCGCTTGTCAGATAATAGAAGACGAGCAGAATCACTTCAAATAGCACGACAAAATGATGAATTTAAAAACGAAGAAAATAAAAGAAGAGCTGAAGCTCTTATGATTGAACGACAAAATGATGAATTCAA